ATAATAGACTTTCCTGCAATACTTTTTCCACTTCAGTGAATTCAAAAAGAGAAATCCAGGGCAAACAGTTGAAGAAATGCAGCGTCAATGCTTTTTTGAGAGTCGTGTCCAAACAAGGGGCCGTCCGAGAGATAGATCTATAGATGAATCTATCGACCTGAAAGAATTTCATTTGTATTTATTTCAGAGACTCAAAGATCCAAACCATTTTTACAATAAACACATGATTCACTTTGGCCTCAGCGGACATACACTGTATCATCAGTGTGACAAGGAATGGAAGTACGATTTTGCCTCAGTGTGCAGTGATGACTGTATGAACGTTTGACAAGGAATATCATACTTTGGCTCATACACACATAAAAAGCTGGAACCATCGCGGCCAGACGTTTTGCTGCTACAGCCTCACTTGGTGTGGTATGACCAGACTGTATACAAAGATGAAGGCGTGTGTCCTCTTCCTCCGACTCTCAGAAACGCAGGATATCGTAGATACGGACGCTGCCATCTTGCGTCGATGTCTGAGCAGTGATCATGGTGTAAAGCTGCAGTATCGAGGTCCCGCAGATACACACGCTAAACCAACCGTCAGTCTCAGCTGTCAATCGGGATGTTTCACCACATTTTTAAGTTCAACCAAACTTCAACACTTGAACACAAACAGTGTGATAAGAACTACATAAAGTGACAGACACCATCTTTGAGATAATGCGTTTGATTTGTACTTTTTAGCTTCATCTATGTCCCATCTACTAACATGGAGGAGGCAGGATCCATGACCTATACTACAGCTGGCCACCAGGTGGCGATCCAGACGCTTTGGCTTCACTTTTGGGGAGCTGTCATGTTGTCTTTAAATACTTGCAAATACTTCAGGTAAAGGTCAAGGCTTGCAGAGTGGAGCAGATACTAAAATTCATTTAAGCACTTCATTCAGGCTGGTCGAGCACTGTGGTGACTGATTAATAAAAACTTATCTCAAAGTTACAAAGCATCTAAAACACATAAAAACAATCAGTCATTTCTGGAGCTGTAAACATGTCTTACGTTCTTTTTGGGAATCTGCACAATATGCAGTTTGGCAGAGGACGGACAAAAGTGCATTTGGAAAAAAGAGGAATGTCTCTACCTGAGATCTGTCCTTACTGTTGCTCAATTGTTCCTTTGTCCCAAGTTACTTAAATGCAAAAGCAGGTTTCCTGCAAATGACTGTTCCAAGGTGTAAAGCAGTCCAACTTGCTTGTCTGTTTAACTAGTGAGGCACTTTTTGATGTGGAGACATATGGAATGATCATTTAGAGGAATTCGAGCCACAGCACACCAAATGAAAATATCAAGGAAGGGCTTGTTCCTTCCTTGATATTTTCCTTGAACTGAGCTTAGAATATATCAGGAATTAGACAGGTCCCTCTATTACAGGGAGGAATGAGGAACTAGTTTATAAAGTGACAGGGGTGTATTGGCAATGTGAGTGCTGGTGGACACATGGACAAATCTGTCAGAATTATACTCCTGGTACAAATATGTTAAAAACAGCCTCATGTGTGGATTAGATTGATTGTGTGGCTCCACAGGGACAACATCCACCTGAGAAGACACGACACGGCTGGACTAAAATGATATTTTATGATGCCTTCAGGTGCTAGAGGTTCTGCGAACACCTGATCTACAAGTTGAGAACAGACATAAAATCAAGAAAAGGTTACGATCCCAAATGGCCATGATGTACCGTATAATATTCAATCTTCATTTCAAAAATTCTAAAAAATAGACTGCACCTCTATGTGGTCAGAGTCGTCACAGTGCTGAGGTCTGTGGCGACGCTGTGTAAAAATAGGTCCAAACACCTTGATGAAAAACCTTCAGCAGCAGATGGACACAGTTCACTCAATGTGTCAAGAAGGGGATCTCTCAAAGATCAGTGGTGATGACAGGAGTGACTCCGTGGATGAGCAGCGTGGGGCCCAGGTCTCGAGTCAGCAGCTCCAGCTGGTGCAAGTAGGCAGCGTAGCGCCGGGTGTCAGCTGGAGGACGGGGCAAGTACAGGAAGCGCACAGCAGGAGGTGGCCGGGCCTGGTCCAGGATCAGCTTATTGACAGCTGACAGGTAGTCATCCGACAGGCGCGTGGTGTTGCTCGGGAAGCTGTTAACGTAATCGTCAACATCTTCTTCCTCGTCTATTCTCTGCTCCTGCTCTTCATTGGTGGTATCAGGTTCAGACTGAGATTGCTGCTTCTTCCCACACATGCCTTGACGCTGCCAGTGTAGCGCCACCTGTTGGTCCCAGGGCACAGGATAGATCTGAGCTTTAATTCTCAAATCTTTCAGCAGCTGGCCGAGCTTCTCCCCTGAGCCTCTCACGCTTCTCCCATCCTCAACGCACAGGAAGAGACGGAGCGTGGCCTTACGCCAGGCTCTTACCATATTGAGGATACAAGCAAGTTGTAGCAGGAAAAGAGAGCAGGTATCGACGTAGCTAGAGCTGTCCGGTCGCAGGAGGTTGACCGGCCAGACGTCAACGTACACGGTACCCTTCAATGGGGAGGAGGATGGTGAGAGGATGTGGGTTCGGTCAAAGTTGTCAAAGTATCGAGCCAGCACCACGTTCTTAAGCATCTTCATGGCATCAGCGATGATCGCTACATACTCCTGGGGCCCCAGAACCTTCCCATCACCAGATTCCCCATAATCTTTTCTGTTGCTGGACACCCGCAGGGGGTCAAAGTGGAAGAGAGGAGGTTGTTGCTCCAGCTCCTGAGAAGGCGCGGAGGGATCTGTGGCCTGACTTGTAGGCAGGGTGGGATCCACCAGCCTGTCCTGTGGAAGACTGTTGTCATAGAAACCGAGGACGAGGGTGTTCGGACGCATCCCACCTGGAAAGAGTTAAGCCAGATGAGGCAAAGAATGAGACAGGTCCCTTTGTTACAATCGAATGCAAATGATCTCAGCGATCTAATTACGATCGCTGTTGTGAAGTGAAAGGCTGAAGAGGTTCAGTCTTTCAATCCGAGGAAGTCAGAGTGAGACAGATGTGAAGAAGCCGAGTGCTAGAGTGGGAACTGGGAGGGAAGCCAAAGAGGTAAAATAGAAGGGCTGAGAAAATAAGAGTGGTTAAAGTTAGACTTGAGAGACAACTCAGGAGAGCAGGACGACAGCGAACGAGTAAGAACTAAAAAAGAAAACACTGAGTCAAAGCTCTTTAGTTTGCAGTGGGTGTTACTAAAGTGAAGATCATGTACAAATAAATGTTTTTAGAATGTTAGGACTGCTGCCTGAAATCTCACTCGAATTGAAAAAACAAAGATTTATTTTCTGAATAATTGTTCAGCAGATCCGATGACAGTTAACACCGAAGAGGAGTCAAAGTATCAGCATAAGCACTGAGTATATATAAGTGTCAATTTAAAGGTAAGCTCTGAAAGCAACTGAAGGGAAACTGAATTGCTGAATAATTTCTTTTAACTTAAGCAGTCAAAATGAAGCGACTGAGAAGAGTTGCACTTTGAGTTTTGTCGAGATTCTGGAGGCACTGAATAAACCTAAAGTGGATGTTTAAAACTAAAGCAGTGGAAAACTAAAAGAAAATGGTATATTCGAACGTCCCTGGTAGGTTTGGCTTATAATTAATAGTTGCTGAAATAAGAGAAAATGAAGTGGCAGTTGAATAAAATCAAAGGAAAAAATAAAAAATATTCAAATCATCCACTGAATTGTAGGCACAGACAAAAACTCATAAAGTGTTGTGGCAGCTGCAACAAGGTTAAAAACCCATTTAAAGCAGAGAATCTGTTCATGTCTGAGGGACATGATGAAGTAAAAGTGCTAAATTAGGTTTAAGTGTAACGACAAGCAAAAGAGAATTACTTAAGCGAGTTAGAGTGGAACATCTGACAAGAGACTAGTTCCAGTTTCAGTGTATTTGATGAATAACAAAGAAAATAAAAAGAGTTTACATTTAACAAAGGTTTAGTTTGGAGACAAAAAAGTAAAGATGTATTTTTCAAACAAAAAACAAAAATGTAATAATCAAATTAAATGGTGAAAATATATGAACATGCTTAATATTGTAACATTGGAAGTGATTTAAACATCTTCATTGATGGATATTGAAAAATAATGTTCACACCGACCTAATCCAGAGATGAAGAGCAAATGTTGGACTCCGTGACGAACAGAATCGGCCAAAGTCAGGTTGACAAAGGCTTTGATGTTCAGATGATCCACCAGGGACAACCAGGAGTCATACTGGCACTGCAGAGGGTCTGATGGCAAATTGTCTGGGAGGGTGGAGGCAAACAAAACGGTATGAGGTGAGATATGTGACTGACAGTTTTCTGGAAGTGTGTGGAGATTCAGAGAAGATGAAGGATCGTGAGGGGCCGAGACCAACAGGCTTACATGTAAAAGGGAGACAGCAGAGAAGTCAGTGGGACAGAGTCTGAATTAGAGGCAGAGCATGAGAGACGTCCCAGACTCGATGCTGAGACAGAAAGAGATGCAAGACAAATGACAGCGTAAACAGAGAGAGAGAGAAAGAGAGTGCGATGCAGAGGCCACATCTGCAACGTCACAGACAGTTCCTGTGGAGGTTCCAGCTGTTAGGACCCGTCCAGACTCCTGACACTGCTGTTCCCAAGTATCCTTTGTTTTCAGCTTGAAGGAAAACAGCAGCGTGACTAGTGAGAGGATAAGCGGATGGACTTAAAGTACATTACGAGGGCAATATGGAAGTAGCTGGGAGTCCTCAACAACAAACTCCTCTTCAATATAATTATGGGAATGACTATTTCTCCAAACTCAAGTGGCTCGTTAAATGAGAGGAGGGCTCTTCAGCGGCTAATGAACGTATCAGTTTTCCACTGTGAAAACACTCAGGATGTGGACTCTGAGGATGCCATTCAGAGCCAGTACCAGTCTCCCATCATCGATACATAAAGGACTCCACACAAGAGAAAGAAGACAATCAATGATTCCGCTCCTTTAAACGATCTAAGTGTGTGCCTCGGCAGAAAAGAAAAGGGACGCCCCCTGAGCATTGAGCGCATGATTACTTCCCTCGACATGAAACAGCAGCAGATGAGCCGATGTCATGGAGAAAGGTATAGCCCACAATAACGATGCACTGGCTCACTGGGAAGATTTGTACTTTTAAACATTTGGAAAATGTCCCCGGTAGGTTTGGCTTATAATTAATAGCAGATGTAGATAAGATCTTGATAATCAAGTGTTAACAGAGCTGAATTATCACAATGTAATTATTGTGTGTTCCATCATGACAACAGGGTTAATGTGATATTTAAGAGTACAGATGAAGCTGAGACTTTCACACTACAGGACTTTCAAAGTCGTTGGATGCTGCACAGTTCACACTTAACGATCAGGAGTCCTGCGGTCGTTAACTGAGTGCCGACAGCGGGGCACGCGCCACACAACCTCTCAGGAGAAAGCCCAGACTGCTCCCCAAACTGCACTTAATCACGAAAACACACACGAGAAGAGACACGGTGATCCTCCTGCCATCCCGCATTTTTTTATCCGAACCCATCTGAGCCTGGGAGAAAATGTACTGAGGCTGATCTGAAGGTATTCTGTTTTTTTCGTTTATTTTTTTTTGTCCAAACCCGATACAGTTAATAGAAGCTGCACTGAGTTTGTGCGACTGTGTCCCTGACACATGGTTATTGCTTGATTTAACTGATAAGAGACATATGCAGTGTAAGAAACACCTTCGCCACACTCACTCTGTCCTGCACTGTGATTGGCTGGAGTCGTTTGCGAATCTGTCTGTGACTCAGGCTGCATCAGCGAGCCTCTCTAACTGCGTCTTTCAAGAGTTCACACATAGCGAATGCCGACTGAGCGCAGATCTGCGGCTTTTGAACTTTAACAGTGGGTCCATTTGGCGAGTGTAGGATGTAGGTTGTCCTTACTGAGGTCTCCGAGCTGGACGTGTCCAAGCACGTAAAGGCCACTCTTCTTGATGTCGTTGATGAAGGTGATGAGGCCCACGCTGCTGCGAGGGTTAGAAACCATCAGCAGGACCTGAGGCCTCCAGAACTTGACGTGGTCCTTCCTCACATCCAGCATCAGCAGATACTTGCGCACCTACAAGCGAGAAGAGACGTTTTTAAAGATGGGTTGTTATTAAGAGACGTGTCCATTTTTGACCGGATTCTTCTCCTCATCATTTAACCCCGTGATCCAAAGCAGCGGACTCAAGTGCAATGTCCTAGGGGTCAGGCACAGCTCGGAGTTCTCATGTCTGCAGTTGTCTGACACATTGGTGATCTGTGACTCTTAGGGCAGAACAACAGGATATTCCCTCTCGGAGCAAGATCACTACAAGGCTTTAATTACTGAGCAAAAACGGCCATTTACAGAGTCAAGCTGTATTTTCTCCTGTGACCAGAGACATGCAGGAAGTGAAAGTAACTTTTATGGATCAGGAGTAGGGTGAGATTTGACATGGGTTTCATGCAGCAGCCAATAATTAACCAAATAATGAATATTATAATCTTACTTGTTTTTTCTCACACATTTATGATGTGTTCATAGTATTTTATTTAACTTTAACTTTACCAAAAACATTTACTGTTAAATCTTCATTGCAGGTAAACCAGGTAGGATGAAAGCAAAGTTTTTCTAACTTCCCTCTGCACCACAGCCTGCATTTAAAAGCTTCGCACACAACGTCCAGCACACGAACAATTGAAAAAGTGACAGTATATTTTTTTGTATGTTTTCTGAATTCTGAGCATTAACACGGGACAAGAGAACAGCCCATAATAAACAGGCAGGTTTAGAACTGGCATTGCACTGGTTTTACAAATGTTTTCTAAACCTGGAGAGTGTTCAGGGGCTTACATCATCTGCATAATGTACCTCCATTTTTTGAAAATGTACAAAAGTGTTTAATGGCTCTGAGTGGGGGTGTGTGTCAGGAGCAGTAAGATCCTGGAGTCTCGTCTTGGCTGCAGCACACACGGTTGATATCGACCTCCTCATCTGACTCGTACCAAGAAAGCAAGTAACACAATTCCAAAAATGTAGAACAACATAAATTTGTGCTTTGTGTGTGTGTGTGTGTGTGTGTGTATACATATCCATCTCATATGTATGCATGTGCTGTAATATTTTAAGTGCAAGGAGCAAACGGGGAAAAAAACATTCCATCTTTAATCAGCAACCCATTAGGATATGAGATTGTAGCAGAGAACAGAAACCAGGGGCTCTGTGTGTAAGTGCATGCAGAATGAGCATGTGTGTTTCCATGAATACATATGTATCATTCAAAGGCTTATTAGCAGAAAAAATGTACCCATCTGTGGTTACTAATGAGCAAACACTAACACTGTAACTAGCACTGTGTATCAGTTTGTGCTACAATGCACATTAAAACACAGCCATCATTAGGATTCCCACGGCGCTCTAACTAGCTGGCATCAAGGTACCATTAAGGAAATGTAACCAGGTGGAACAAAACATTAGATCTGAAACCCAAGCCTACTAGGAATGATTTTCATTCATTTGATTCTTTTATTGGAATTAATGACCATTAACTCAGTGACGACAGGTCTGCCATGTTAAAGCCGCTGACTGCGCTGTCAAATTCGTCAGTTTGAGAGAAGCAAGGTGACTTTAAAGTGTAATTAGGTGTTTTTCACGGCGTTTGCATTCTCAAAATGGAGGAACACTATCCTGCTGTTACAAGAAGGGGGAGAAAAAGTCATGTCTTGACTTGAGCACAACAGTGACATGTAGGGAAGGAAGTGAAATTGGCTGAGGTCAAACGTATTTACACATTTGTGACGTAACTGGAGCCTGACGTACAGTACCTCTGGTCAAAGTGCCATTTTTTGGCAGCAAGAAACTGTCATTAAAAAGAAGAGAATCACTTAAGAATGATACTTGAAAACAATGTTCAGGTGTGTTGGTGGATTTTAGGCAATGAAAGGAAATAGTGGAACAAACAAAAGCACAACTTTCTTCAGTTTAGTAGCTCCACAACCATCATCTAAAAATAAAAGTTTACCTCAAGGTTTATCAACACTCAATCAGAAACTGAAGATGCAAAAATTATTACTGTCATAATCACCAAAGCTGTTTACATGCTTCTGTCCAGAAATAGTTGTAAAAACAAAAACAAGAAAAAATCTGGTCCCAGAGGCAAATCAAAACTGCCTCCACTCAATCTGATCATCTGTCTCTCTTTATCTCTCCATTTCCCAGTCTTCTCATCCATCAGGCTATCATCATTTCTCTGTCGTTTCAGTCTCATCCATCACTTTGTTTTCTCGATCACTCATCCGTTCTCCTGCTTATATTCTGTCTCTGTCTTTTTACCTCCCATGATACCATCAGCGATTCCTGCCTCAGTTTGTCTTTTCTTAGTTTTCTTTCTCTACTTAACACTGTTGTCAGACGCTTGTTATCTCCACATGTGTTTTTTTTTTTCCGTATGCAGTCGTGTCTACCGTCCCTGCTTCAATGTCACCCAGTTGGCACCCTGCCACACTGGCAACTGCTGGAAGGTGCAGGAGCTTGGACGATGAGTGGATGCACAAGACATGTACATGCACACACTGCCATTAGTGCCTTTGAGTGGGTCTGGAAATGTTTGGAGGGTGGGGCGTGGGCATGGTTTTAAATTACTATAATTTAAGAGATAAAGATTTATTTAAAGCAACAAACTTCATTGTATTAACAAATCCATTAAATGCATATAATAAAGTCTGTGTTAAATATTCTACTAATATTCCATTCATATCAATAAACAGCTGCTACTGTCTCCAAGCAGCCTGCAGCCACAGATTATGAGATAAGGGATCACTGGTTTAGAATTCACACCCTGTATAGAGCTGGGAAGACAGATCCAATCATAAGTTATCACAGGAGAGACATTAAGGACACAATTTAATGGCAGGCCTGTTCAGTAGTTCATCTTTGATACCAGGGTTTCTGCAGATGTCAACAAGTTAAACTTAGGACTTTGAAAGACCATAACAAATAAAATGTAAGACCTATATTTATTACAACAAATGGAAATATTGGAGTCCCAGAAATACTTAAATGTCCTCATAGTGGAAGATGAGATGGGATGTAGAGAACAGGCTTGGGGAAAAGGAGAGGAAGGGGGTCGAGGAAGAAAAGCACAATAAGGTAAGTGGTTGTAATAATGCTCTGCCTCCTGACAAGCTTCTGGCAAACCCAGCCATCCTCAGCCCATAACCCCTGCCCACAGCCTTGGCAACCGCTTCCCTCGGCAACAAGCCCACCTGGCAACGGTGCCTCCTCTCCTTGAGAGCAACAGGCTTCCAAGACAGAGGACACGCAGATCTGGATGATGTAAAGCTCTGAGTGCAAGTGTATCTGTGTCATAAATGTAGAGAAATTTGCTGAGGGAAAAGATGCAGATGTGTGAGTGCGTGTCTGGTAAGTCAGATATAAACATGATAGATGGCTGCTGCAGAAATGACAAGGTAGTGTTCTGTGTATCTGTGAGAAAAGAGAGGAAAGAAATGTGTGTGTTTGTCTGCTAAATGCAAAGCACTTGGCTTAGTGAGAGGCAGCAAAACAGTCCGTCTGTGTTTGTGTGTGTGTGTGTGTGTGTGTGTGTGTGTCTGCATGTCTCTATAAACCTGATAGAGCGATTACTTGGCAGAGGTACAGGCTCTTGTAAAGCTGAGGGGATGAGATTTTAGTTGCTCTAATAATGACAGGGCTGTTTGAGAAAGAGAGTGTGTGTTTGTACTTCTATCTTTGTGAGGACCAGTTATAGATATTACCGGGTAGAGACATTATAGGAAAGTGACAATATTTTGGGCGGATCCTCACAACTTGAAAAAAGCTTGTTTGAGACTCAAGACTTGATTTCAAAAATTCAGGTTAGAATTTGGTTTAGGTTAAGATTAGGTTAAGGGTCTAGGGAATGCATTATGCCAGTGAGTGTCCTCACAAGGATAAAAGTGTGCATGTTTGTGTGTGTGGGTGTATATATATTTATTTATATATCAAACCTGGTGGAAAATGAGAGCCTGGCTGATGTAACCCCAGCTGGAGGTGGGACTGAGGTAGTGAATCAGCAGGAGCAGCAGCAGCATGAAGGCGATGCTGGCCGAGGCGTAGATGGCATTGATCAGGAACATCATGATGGCGCAACCCACAATGCCCAACACGCACGTATGCCAGGTGAAGTAACGAAAGGTGGGCCTGAGGAGAGAACAGGATAGGTCCAATTTACAGTGGGAACTTTTAAAAACTGCAAAAAGAGAAGGTGACATGTGAAGGAAAATAAAAACAATTGTGTTTTGATGCTTAAAAGGTTATTGAGATGCAACAGAAAGACATGCACATGATTAATGTATTTTTGACAGGGAAGAGCAGATTAGTTAACACCCATTACACAAACACACAGCCGTGATTGTGAGTCTGTGTCTAAAAACGGGCAGTCGTTTTCTAATGACTTATAAAACTTTATTTGATTGTGTGATTTTTGGTTCATGACAGACAGACGTTGGAGAACCCTTGTGTTAACGCTACAATACCTGGTTTACTTTATCAGGAACATGATACTATTACTGTTCCTCTCTTACTCCTCTCAACAGCCTCAGTTCTTTGAGGGATTGATTCCACAAGATTCACCTTAGCTTAGCTTTTGACACTGGACCACAACGTCTGAATAAGCAATCTGAAAAACAATGTTGGCCTCAGTGATGTTGCTCATTGGTTCAGATCAAATGTGTCTAGCAGGTCTTTTTGATGCCTGTTGATGTGTCACCCATCATGTTTATGAGGGTCTAAGTCAGGCAAACTCACAATCATCGTTTAATCCTTTCTGACACTCTAATTTATCTTTTGGCTATTACAATGAATAGAAAACTATTGATATTAACAGAAAAAATGTAAAACTCCTGCCCTAAATAAAAAAAAAAAAAAATTCTAAGGACCTTTTAATTGATTTAGTTAACTGTTTAAAGTCAGCAGGTTCAAAAATTCCTACCAGATATTTGGAAAAGTTGTGCAAACACACATCAGTTTCAAATATGACTCTATAAGGTATACTGCTTAACATGTTCACTATGCTATGTAAACATGGTGTCTCCATGCTACTGTGTAACATAACTACACACTCCAATGTCATGATAATGCAATTCCACCACTCTGCACCACTCTGGTAAAATCAATATGGGAGGTGGAGGTGGCAACGCCCAGTCGAGGAAAGAGGGAGAAAGAAGAGAAAAAGAAAATGAAGAGATTTAAAATAGCTACCATTCGGTCAGATCGATTTTATTAGCTGTAAATATTCAATCACTATGTGCATCATCCAGGTTCAACAAAACTCTGCTTAGTCACAGGGCATCTCTGGAGAAATTCTGACGGGGTGCTGCATTGGCGGGCCGATGGATTGTGTTTTACAAGCCCTGTCAGACAAACTCTGAAGACAATACCTACTAACAGAACAATTTTCAGATAAGCCTCTAAAGTAAACTTCTTTAACGGGGATTCTTTAGAGGATATGGTAACAAAAACATTGTCTTAGCTAGAAGCTCCGACCCCACATATCCGTGTAGGGACTTCCCACATGTCAGTTATTTAAACTGAGGTAGACTGAACCACTGAGGATTTCAGCCAATTAGCAGCTGAAATAACATCAAGATTCTCCTAACATGGTTATCCATCCACCTGGGTTGAAAAAGCCAATGAAACAAGAATCTCTTACTGAATCAATAAAGTTTAGCAAAGAGTATTACAGGTTACTGACCTTATTCCCACTCTACCAAGTCCATTTGTAGAAAACAATGGCGGATTATTTTTCTTTAGTCAGATGAGGAATATGCTTTTATCTTCTCCTTTCCAGTCTTTGAACATGACTTCAACACATTCATTTACTTGTCACTTTTGTTATCCACATGAAAAACTAACTAAGAGCCTTTTAGTGCTCTTATATGGTGTTGACGATCCTGTGCCACTTATCACAGCACTAATCAAGTTCTCAATTTCTACATGGTTAGGGTTATGCACATTATGGATTTTGGATTCCATGAATATATGATCTATTATATACAACACTGAGGTAACCTTAAAAATAAGGGATGTTGGGGGGATAAATATGATCAAATGTGCCGATTGTGCGCTTCAGCACATCATATCCACTATAATGGACACAAGAATGATTGGTAGCTTGCAATCTCATGGCTGAAGAGTAAACACCACGAGTAGTTCTACTTTTATTGTTGTGAATGTCTAAGTTTTAACTTAGCTCACCTTTGGTACAATTCAATGGCAAATTGTAGATTTACAGATGAGTTAAAAAAAACCATCAGGATCTATTTCTATCAGTGTTACTGAGACAATGGTTGACTTTTGACATCATACTGTTTTAGGAGAAGGGCAAAACAAAATGAAACTTTTCCCATCAATGTATTTCAGGAACATTTAAAAAAAAGTCACTCTTTAACCAAATCTAAAGAGTCTGAATCTCAGTGTCAAACAAACCATAATGACTTCATTCCTAATGCATGACTGCAAGCCGGCATCAAAACAATTCGGGGGATAATGCTTGGACAAAAGCAATTAAAACCAACATCGCATGCAGATTATACTGTTTGAGACTTCGGCAGACCTCTGTGTTTGTATGCATGGGCTTGAATTCATATATAAATGAGTGCATTAGCCATATTTTATATACACGAGCCTGTGAAAATACAATTGCATGTGTGTGTGGGCTATTTAAGTGTAAATGACTTGCAGGGGTCATGAAGTTGGGTGCAACCCGGCGGGTGGAAGCGTTCACATTTTTAGAGGATCATGTACTTGACCCCAATTTCCCTGCAATAACTGCAGACGTGTGGATAAACAGCCATTAAAAAAGCTGCAGCTGTAATTACACAATACAGCTCAAATGACCAAACTGGCTTCCTCCAGAGATCACATTTTGACCAACCAACGCAACACCGCAGGAAAGAGATAATGTATCATGATGATGGCAGAGGGGGTGAAACCACCAGGAGGATAAGTCAAAAGATAAGAAAAACAGAGAGTGTTTGACAAAGACATTCAGCCTTTTATTGGTGAAGATTTCTTCTCTGAGCACAGAGGACCAAAGGAAAACATGAGCGGGTCTAAGGTCAGGAGCTTGGAAGTGAATACTTTAAAAGATTAAATATGGCAAAATCCAATATTCAAGAGTCTCATACAGTGTAACTGAAACAGTAAATCTGCCCCATTTGTCAAAATGATTATTTAGACGCACACTGATACTGCAGTTTTCATCAGGTATCTACTTTATGAGTTATTAACATCTGATATTGATTTATCAGCTGATCAGGGATGAAAAAAAAAAGTCTATGGGTTGGTTCAGCATTTTTTTTAAATAACTGGAACGTAAAGTAAGATGAAAATTAGCTTCACGTTCGGTCTTGTAAACATGTAAGCTCCTTTACGTTTGTTTTTATGAATAGTCATGACTTAAATATTATATAATGTTCTGTGTAAGACACTGAAAAAAAAAAGTCTGCTGGACAAACTATGTAACGGCAAAACTTCAAGGATATATTTGGGATTACAGCGGCACCTTGCATCTACCTGAGTTTATAAAAGGGGCTTTATGAATAACATTACCTTGCCTTACAGTATTGCTACTTCTTTTTTATGGGTGGAATATCTATCATTCAGATATATCAGAGACCTCGAAATCAGCACCTGATATCAACCACTCTGTAGCATTGATAAGGTTTTAAACATAGTATCTGGGTGTCTAGTCAAGCAGGTAATGTTCTTTGCCGAGTGTCAGCCAAGTGACAAACTGAAACCTAAAAAGAACAATCTCAGTTTGATTGGAGAGTTTGCTCCTGCAGCTCACTGCTGATGATCCATGTAGAGTGTCCTCGACCGCTGTTTTCAAGTCAGGACATTTACATTTTTATCTCTCATCAATAAAAGACTGAGCCACAAACATCATCATGCTGAAGTTGTCTCAAAAATATAAATAAAAAAAACATACCCTTAAGCTATAGCATCTTACTCTTCTCTCCCTTCCAGCATCCTTTGGCGTATAGCATCACACAGGCCGGGTTGCTTAACAGGAGCCTGCTGTGTGGAGTTTACTGATGTAAACACCAGATTTCAGGCTCTTTAAAATTCAAACACTCGACTCAGCCATTTCACAGAGTTTTATCTGACTTTTTTTGGGACAAATCATAAAAAAACTTTTTGTTGTTAGAACCTTTGAAACAGCGTTTAGGCCACAAGGAGCCAAGAAGTGAATGTAGCACTAATGATACGAGTGCAAAGGTTCCAGACTTAGAGAGAAAGGTTTCATTGCAGGTTTGCACGGACCTACTGTCTTCAAACTTTGCTTTTATATCTTCTTGACTTTATCACTTAGCATCAGCGCTGCCCACAGTCCTCTAATCTTATCTCTCTCTCTATCCTATTGGAGAGTGGGTGGGTGTAATTACGATAAAAGCTAGCCCACCCTATCCGTCCTCCCCCACCCGGCTCTTTAGACACTGCTGTCCCTCCATCATCAGCGCCAGCAGTCCCCCCATACAATCACCTCACTCTCACCCTTTCTCCCGTCTCTCTTGTTCTCCAGCGACTGATGTCACTTAGCTGACACAGCAAAAGGACCCTGAAATAATCGCCCATGGAGTCTTCCGAGACATTAAGAAAAAGAACCGGAGAGCAATGAAGATGAAGAGAGGATATTCGGCGTCTAGCCAAGAGACACGTCATAATTAAGGGAAAGCGGGGACAGAAAGTTTATTCACCCACACACGCACAGTCAAACATAGGGGGGGTTGCCAGGAGATGCCAGGCTCCATAAGTAAAGGGTCAGTGAGTTTACGAGACATTACGTCAGACAGCATCCCAACACTGGCACACCACCAGTGGAGACTGGACTGACTTTAAAAAAACTTTCAACAACTTTAGAAATCACCTGGTTTTGGATCAGACTGGACACCATGGATAACCACAATGATCCCAGCCAGCATCAAGCTGGATTTATCTTGTAACCTGGTTAAAATAACGTAATAAAGGAGCTGTGTTCAATCAATCAATCAATCAATCAATCAATCAGTCAATCAACCAACCAAAGACCCTGTTTAGAATCACAGTTTGCCTCATAGGGCTAAACCATCTGTGCAAGATAAAACATCATCTGTTCTTGACAAATAAATTTGGATCACACATCTACAATTAAAGGC